CCCTTCTCACACATCTCTTCATAATGAGCTGAGATTCACATTGCCCACGCCATGAGCATGCACACAGCCAGCTCTCCAAATGCTTCTCTCCCTACCTATACCTTTCACACGCAGATTTAGCCTTTCATCTTTGTCCATGTTCGCATCTCTTTTACCAGCTTGCCCTTCTTACAAAATTGTTCTACTTGCTTGCCTTGTGTCGTCAGCTGGAAGATCTCCTCCAGCCCTCAATTCATCTGTCGGTTTTGGATATTATTTTTCTTTACCTTTTTTATCTGATTTTTAGTTTCAAAGCTAAATGGCCTTCAGCAATCACTGTTTAAATGGTCTGTAATATGATAGGGCCATTCTCCTAATAGACAATGAGCTGTTCAGATTACCTGCAGTGCCTTGGGGAGGATTATCCAGTTACAGCATTTGGTGTAACTTTAAACGCAGAATACATAATGAGTAGTAGAAACACCTTCAGATCATTTTTCTGGGTGAATCCATTTGATCGTTCTCAGCATCCCATGGCAGTTCATCTCCAGGAAAGTGAGATCTCTGCTTGTGCCCTTGGTCCCGTAACCCCACCCAGCCTCTGAGACCAAGAAGGACCTTATAGATTACTTAAAGCATCTGGTGATAATCAGATGGCATCATGATGGCATCCTCCTTGGAGACCACCTTCTGTTCTCTCATACTGAGCCCAGTTCTCATCAGCGAGGCAGTATTTGTGAGGATGAACCCGGATCTCTTCACCTCCTCTCTTTGGGGACACAGTTCACTGAGCTCCGCACAGTCTCTCGTGTGTCATCGGAATGCCGTGAGTCTGTGATAAACCAGGATTTGTATCAGCGCAGCCTCATGCTCTCCACACGCCCGGTCCTTTAAGGGTCTTCAGTCTCTGCTGGAGGATGAGTTATCTCAAAGACTGGGTCATAAAAGCTGGTCCTGTACACTGAACAGGTTTTACAGTTTATATACCGGGGCTATATTGTAGTTGTTTAATAGTCTAGTGAATAGGGGGGAAAAAAATCCCCCTTGGCTCAGATTAAGTCCTCAGAGTTTTTTAGAGCTACCCTGGACTTGCACCAGATTCTTCTTTTTGCTGACTTACGTTTAACACCGGGGGAGGAAAATGCTACCCTTGCAGAACTCATCCGTCCGAGCCTTGGAGAACTGGCCCATATGGCGATGTGCGCGTGTGCTGCACCTGATGCCAGATACCATATGCCTAGGAAGAGAGCACAGTCTTAATTGTGTACTCTCCCTAGGAATAACCAGGGTGGTGGTTTATCAGGCATCATATCACATGGCAGTAGCAGAAAACAGGCATTCAAGCTTAGCTTCACAGGCATTTCCCTTCCTGGCTGAAGAGTCTGGTTTTATACCTTAAGATACCCAGAGCAGATTACTTACGTATCATTATGTGTGTCAGTAAGTCTAGTTAAGATATCTTCTGAAAAGCCCACCAGGAATGGCCTTGGATATGAAGCACACTCATGTTTATGTTGCTTTTACCTCAACTAACAGTCTTTTCCCATCTTTGATCAAAAATCTTGGCTGACACAACCTCAGGCTGACGGTCTAATGAGCCTTTCAGATTTTTTTTTTTTCCCTCAAATAGCAAATCTGATAAGACTTTTGGTTCCACAGCCGGGAAAACCAGTCTGACACATTCCTGACATCTTCTTAGGGTCCATAAAGTGCACATGGCCTGCAGAAGGACAGAGCAAGGTGTGGTGACTCCAGCCTGTAAGACATCCCAGGAAAAAACAGTGAGAAAACTGTTACCTGCTCAAATTCGTCTTCTGTCACCAACATCTTCATACCCAAATTCTTCTCCCTACTGCTTATGAATATCCTTTTTTGAGCTGGATGTGCGTGCAATGTCACATAAACATGCTTACATATACTTATGCATATATCTTTCACGTAACGCGATTTAAGTTGTCCCACGCTGCCATGAGAAATCCCTAGAACTAAAAGCAAGCTGGGGGAGATGAAACACTGTGCAGACAAACAGGAAAGATGAAACGCGGCATCTATGTATTCCCTAAGAAAAATATTTATCTCTAGTATTTACTAAAAGCTTTCTTACGTGATCTGGATACAAAATTTCTGGGGGCTTAAGGATTTAAAGACAACTTCAGTATTTTCAAGTGTCTATACGAGTTGCATAAAACACTTGGGGTTTACAGCACTATAAAAATGCACGCATAGTTTGCAGCCTAAATTAGCTCAGCGTAAGATCCCCGTGAATACAAGGGTTAGAAAAAGCGCTGATGGGTGTTTTTGCAACTCATCCCAATGGGAATTATTGTGGGAACTCCCACCAAGTTTCCAGCCAGCAGCGTTGATGCGTTTGAGCTGTGGCGACGTGTCGTGGTGCCTGCTCGGTCCTCAGCAGTACCCCGACGCTGCCTGGTGTCAGCACCCGAACGTGCATGTGCTTTCCCTCCAGACATCCCCTCTTGATGTTTTTCGGCGGGTGGGTGACTGCTTGGCAGACCTGAGAACTGTGAGAACTGACGCCGTTCGTGCCATGGTAGGACTGTGCCAAATGCATAAACCTGTCAGCGCGGAGCGGTGGCTGTATTCACCCTGGCTGAGCATTGTCCCCTTCAGGTGGCAAAGCGAGTGCCAGGAGTGCAGCTACAGTCTGGGAATTGTTAAGGAAGCAGAAGTGGGAGACAAGAAACCAGGTTGTCACCTGGTGTGTTGTGTTTGCACTAAAACATAGTTTAAAGCAGAGAATGTTTGGGTTTAGCTTAACTCCAAAACAGATAACTATTTTTATTAAATTCCAGGTTCTTTGAGAGATTTTTTTTCTTTTTTTTTTTTTCCAAATTGTTATTTGGAACTGGGGTAGGATACATCAAAATTTATTCCCAAGATTGAGTGTACAATATTTCTGTGCATACCGCATAACCAGGGAAATACTGACATTGGAAAGCATTACAATCTCATAATTCAATAGTAATTTTTAACCTGACACACAGGAGAATTTTGCATTTTATATCAGATTTATATTTATATTTTGCTATTAGAAACAAAGCAGAAATCTTGGAAGGTCTCTCGTCTGCCCGGGCAGATGCCCCTGCGCAGGCAGGGGTTTTGCATCCTTCACTACACTTCAAAGCAATAGCAAATAAAATTTTCCGATAAATTGATTCAACCCGGCCAAAGCAGAGCAGGATGATGGCCACGATGTGAACAGTACCAGCTGGCTTGTGTGTGGAAGGGGTTATTTTCTGTAGTTTATTCCTATGAACAACATGGAAGAGAAAAAAATTCATTCTCATGCCGTTTCTCATATCCCATAAATTATTTCATTGCATTTTATGAATGTTCAGTTCAATTCACAATAATTTTCCAGTTTCAATCTTATCTTTCTATTTTACATAGCCAGTTCTTACTTGGGCTCTTTCCCATGACAGGCATGGTGCACTGTGCTTATTAATGAGTGCCATCTTGCTAAGCGTTGCGCTGCTATAATTGATGTTTTGAACCTTGCACACTTGAAAACATTAATCCGTGAACAGATAAGGAAGTGAAATTCACTGCTGTGATGGACGTGAGCACAATACCTCTACTTAGTTCTCACTCCTCAGTACAGATTTTTGCCATTGGTCCATAAATTGCAAAGTTATTAACAGTCAGTTAAAAGCTTGTCTGTCTGCAAAAACACTTTTAGCAACTCTTTTCTACTTTTAGGCCCGCAATTTCCAGCATTCCTCTGATATGTTGTTTTAAGATAAAAACTATATTTAGCATTATTTGTTTTATTATGTGATGAACGCCTTGTGAGGAATCTGAAACAATTAATTTGTTCCCCACCTACAGCACACTGCTGAAAACACAGAGAGAGATGCACTTCGAACCAAGTAGCATTTTTCATCTGAAGGACATCGGTGCTCACGGCAAGGCAGGAACACAGTAGGGAAAAGCTGGGAGATGCTGGGATTTAGAAAACTACAAAGATGTCTGTGTATGCTACGACTCTGTCAAGTGGACATAAATTCCTTTTTGAATCATATAACTGTTCTTGCTCTCTAAAATCATTAACGGTTTCAGCTATATCATACCAAGGAGCTACATATTTCTGTTTGATCTTCATAGCGGTTTGCGTCAGGTAGACTCTACCTGTTTTCAGTAGCACTTACACAGATTATCCTTATTTCTGTGTTACAGGCAAACATTGAGTATCTTATTTACTGTGCCTGGGTCTTTTGGGGGAGGAGAACTATTATTTATGTTTTAATCAATATGATAAAATGTTTATTAGGGCACAACATGTATGCACTGAGTGGTGTGCTGAGCAAGGGCTTTTTCCCTGGAGGTGGGATGTAGGATGACCCACCCATTTAGCACCCACAGATTCCCATTACAGGTGATTGGCCACTGGTTTTGGGAACCCTCAGGGTGCACGGAAGCTCAGCCCTCCAGCTGATGAGACTGATCACCCTTATATATACATATATATATATATGCACATCCAGCTGGTTGCTGTACAGCTACAAGACCAAAGGATGGTTGGGCATCTGTGAGGGGAAGCTGATGGATTTCACTGATTCCGGAGCTGGACTGCTGGTCCCTTTAGCTTGCCCTGGCATTGCTTCTCTTTGCTGGGGTGGGGGGCAGGTCTCTGCCCAGGTGCAAACCATAAGCCCTAAAGGATGCTGAACTCCTCAGGCAGCTTTGGCTGAGGACCCTGCCCCACGTTCTGTAAAGCCCATCAGGTACAGAGCTGCATTAACAAGTGGTTTTCATGGGTCTGGGGGCTGCTGACCTAGGGTGAGGGGCAGGAGAGGACCCTTGGCCAACCCCAGGAGCTCAGGGGGTGTTTGCAGTCCACCTTAGAACCGGGATTTCTGAGCAAAAGCTGCAATTGCCCAGCTCCCCTTGGACATGTGCTACACCTGAGCAAAGCTCTCCAGCTGCTGGTGGGTGTCAGTAGGTTCAGGTGTTTTGTGCTCAGCTTACAGTAATTTATTCCTCTGATTATTTCATTTCAGCAAAACCCTTTGAGAGCGGACAGTACCTGGACATCTATGGAATTACAAGAGACCAGGCTGGGGAATATGAATGCAGTGCAGAAAATGATGTCTCCGTCCCAGACGTGAAAAAAGTAAAAGTCACAGTAAACTGTAAGTCGTGTTGTTTTTTAATCACTAAATCCAATGGAGAAGAGGGACGTGGCTGAGAAGAAAAGTCTGATACAGAGAACTGCTGCTGGTGGTGAAATTGTAGGTTGCTGGGGTTTTGTATGACGGTAGCAAAATGACCTGTGCTATTTGATGTATGAGCCTCACTAAAGTAAGGTAAAATAAGCTTGAGGTTCAGATCCCCCTTTTGTCTGCTGGGGGATAGTGGTGCTGGCATGCTGTCTTAAGCTTTATAGCAGGTGCTCTTGCTGGGCTGCAGTGTTGAGACTGTGGTTTTGGAGTAATTTTTTGAGTAATTATCTGAGTAAATTTCTGGAGACTGCTGTGATTGTGGTGCTGAAGCGTTTCTGCTTTAATTTGTCGTGGTTGTGCAATGTGTAAGGAGATGAGAAACTTTCTTGGGATTTGTCGGATGCTTAGATGGTGACCCATCTCCATGGAAGTCTGAGGCAGTGAGTTGTTTCGTGTGGTGGCTGCAGTGTGAAGGAGACAAGGACCATGCCACGGTGCCATTCTGCGATCTCGGTGGGTGGTGGGTGACACCAGGAACCGCCAAGATGCCACTTACCTGTCCCTGCACCCTGTCAGGTCTGACCACCTGACACCTGCAAAAATATGAACTGTTTCCGGCTTGGGGCTGAATTTGGTTTAGCACTCAGTATGACGTGAAACATTCGGAACAGCGTTCTTTCTCCCCCAGGCATGTAAAAAAGATATGGAAAGGTAGTGGGAATAATTGATCTTGTTCACTCTGAATTTTCTTAAGTGCGATTACCAATCTTGTCATTTGTAACAGTTCCTGGTTGGAAAATTGCTGTGGCATCTTTATTGGCCACAAATCTCTGTGATGTCAGCTTTGTGTCTCCCTCAACAGAGGTTATCCCTGTTGATCAGCCCCCTGTCCACAGGTTGCTGAGAAGCTGGAGAGTGGGAGAGATGGGTTGGTGGTGGTGGGTTGCTGATGGGGCTGTGCTACCTGGGTATTTGTGGGACATTCCCACGGTCAAAAGCTGACCCACTACGCCTTGTTTATATGGCAATGGGATACTTGTAATTCATGATGTCCTGGAACGTGGTGGGTCAATGCACGAATGCTTACAAACAGGTCAGTCGTGCTCTGGGTCTTACAGGCAGCTTTCTGTACTGCTTGGTCAGGGAGGCTGGTGACGCTGGCTGCAGATCCTGCTTTCCCTCTGCTCCTCAGCCTTCTGCACTGAGGCTCTGCTATAATGTGCCATGACCGTCAGTCCTTGCTTTACAAGAGCAGATGTCAACTGCAGAGCACTTGAGGAGGCTCATGCAGAGTCCATCACTCTTCTCACTGCTGCTTTGCCCTCATTGATGTGTTTCCACCTGCATCAACTTTGCTGAATTCCCAAAACCAAGCAATGCACTAAAAACTGGGAGCTATGTGGGAGGAAAAACCAAAATGAATGGTGTCCTGTGGAACAAGTGACTATTATCTTTCGTGCAGTGTGTTGTTACTGGAAGATTGTCAGCAGGACAAGTTGTGCAGATATTTGCATGGCGGGCCCTGGGTGTTTTGGGGTGACACCTTTTGTGACCTTTTGGGCTCACACAAGCTGTACTCCAAAGCGGTTTGTGTTGTTAGATAAATAACTTGCAGTAGGAAGCAGAAGGAATGGTGTGATCAATCTAGTTTTACTAAAACAAATATTACATCTGTGTTATTTCATATCAGAGGGATTTTAATAAGGGTAAAACTAGATGCCTCAGGAGCTTTTTCGAAAGAAAGAAAGAAAAGTTGGTAAGCTTACTTTATTTTATTAAAAAAAAAAAAAAGAAACAAAACCAAACATCAAAACAACAAAGAGCACAGTGGGTATGGTGAACTCATGGTATGGCTCTTGCCTTCTCAGACAGGATCTAGATGTGAATGAGTCCTAGTTTGCATAAAAGCATCAACTTAGCTGGCCAAAGCCACAACTTGTTCTTAAATGCAGTGTGCAGCTGATGTACTTGAGTAAAGTGTCCGAGATGGTCTTTGCCCTGATTCTTTGTCCTTTTAGCTACCTGGGCTGAGCTGTAATTGTCCTTGGCCATAGTGTCAACACACGTGACATTATGTCATAGTCAGGCAAACTTCTAATTCTGCACTGAAGATAAGCAGAGTATCTTTCTTTTTAATGATTCTTACAACTAAGGAAGAAAATGGAGAGGGAGAAAAATAAAACTGAAGCAATGGAAAACTAGGATCTGTCTACAGCATGAAACTGTTTGTATATGTAAATGATATGTTGTAGTCAGCTAATTGTTAATGCACTTCTGTTCAGATTTGTACGCTCTCCCCATGCCGGTTAAGTGCAAATGCACTCCGAACATCTGCTCCCTGATGATGATGCTCATCTGTTCTGACCAGGCAGAAAAACAGCTTGTCGCACTCAGGAGAGGGTCATGATGGAGCTGGCCGATGCTGGGGGATCTCTCCCCGCTGTCATCAGCCCCAGGGGCGCGTCGTTGGGGTGCGCTGTGGTGGCTGATGCTGCAGGGGTGGGCTTCGCTTCCCAGCACCTTGGCATGGCCAGCCTCACTCCAAGAGGGAGTGTCCTGTGTGCCACCAAACCAGCAGAATTCTGCCTGTTTGCTCTCTGTCGAGCTGGGCAGCTTTCATTCGATGACAGCTAAATGTTTTATTTCAGAGAGCTGTGGTTTGCCTATGAGTCACTATTTACAAGAATCATAGAATCGCTGGGTTGGAAAAGAACTAAGTTTGTATCAAATTTATTTTCAATTTTAAATCTGGACAGATCTTCATGAAAAAAATATAAAAGAAGAGCAGAAACCTTCAGGTCCTTCTGTTACCTGGGAGGTTTCCTTAGTCAAATGATCTTCAGTCTTATTTCTTCTTTAAAGATATGTCTGTTTGTTTGTTTGTCTAGCAAAATGGTAAAGCGTAAGCCTTTCTTTCCTTTTTACCCCCCCACTCCTGGGTTTGTGAATTTATTTAATCCTCCTCACCCACCCCGGTGTTATTTGGTGGCTGTACTATTGGTGCAGGGATGTTGTGCCCATCTGCTGCGTACCTCCACCCGGTGTGTCATCCCGCCTACGTGGTTCTTTGGCAGTGTCACCGAAGCCGTGACCAGCACACCAAAACCCCCTCTCTTAGTCTTACAGGGATCCTGTAATTTCCCAAAATGTCTATCGCCTTTCCCCCTGTAGTGCCTGTAAGCACTCTTGGAAGTAATGTGTGTGTCTTCTGCTTCAACTCCCGTTCTTGCACCCTGATGGGCTACAGACGGCCGTGTGCTGCAGAAGCATCGCTTCATCTCGGAGTCTGAGTAATCCCTGTTTCATCTCCATGTCCCTCCACCATGCCCTGTACAGTGACGTCTTGACATACAATCTCCAGCACACAGAACAATGACAGTACAGCACCACATTTGCATGAATATGATCGCTTAACCACTGCTTCTGACAAGTTTTAATGCTGTTTCCCTGTTATTAAAAGGAACGTTCTTTACTGCAGACCTGATAACTGTAGAATAAATCAAGGTTTTATTGTGCCCAGTTAATAGAATGTATCAATGAGCCCTGAGCGGTTACGGTGGATATAAGCATAATTTTGAATATGGATATTCATTGCATATAGCGGTTGTTCAGTCATCCAAGCATGTACAAGAAAATTACCAGGTTTAAATTACTTTCTGAATTTCAAGTTTCCTGGCTGGGCAACTTCCAACCATACATAAACAACCAGCTTGCATTATAGCACATAAATTAGAACTCTAATGACTTTACAGGGTGGTTGGGTTTTTTTTCTTTATTCTGCTTTAGATTGCATAATCTACAATTTCTGCTTAATTGATGTCTGCCCCCATAATTTCACTTCTAAAAATGGTGGCCTGAGAATCTGTAGTGCACTTGTCTGCCTGAATTCAGGGTATGGGGAGAGAGAAAGAAGAAATTGAAGCTGCTGATTTATGAAGAAGGAATACTGTACCAAATCAAGTTAAAATAGATAACATATAATCCAATTTCATTTCACAAGTAATCCTTATTAGCATTTTCCATTACATTTTATAAAGCAAATACTGATTTATAGGTGATAATATTGAACCCCGCTTTGAATAAACCAGTGTCTGGATTAGCAAGGCTTTAATGCGTCATCTGGAAGCTGGTCTGAAACTATACATATGGTACTGCACCTTCGCTGACCCTCTTCTCGTTTACTAGTGTCATATGTAAAAATATGAAAGGCAGTTGCTCAATCCGAGAATCTCTGAAAGTGTAATGTCGTGCTGAGATGATAAAGAATGAGACGTGTGCATCATGAAACTGATATTTCTTTTAATTTCTCTAAAATTGTCAACTGCTTAAGTAGCAAATGTGAGCTTTTAAAGTGGAGCTGTATTGCAATATTCCTTTC